GGGGTCGGCCAGGGATAGAAATAAAAAAAAAAATTATAAAAAAAAATTAATAAATTATATATATATATATATATATATATACATAATTTATATAAATGTGAAAAAGCTTTAATGATGGCATGTGACTAGATAAAAACATGTTAAAAACAGTCAGAGTAAATTGATATCGCCTCACTAAAATAGCAGCACTAACATACAACCCCCAGAATATTGCTTAGCCTTTCATTTTAATGGTGAACAGATATGTGCTGCCCCTAGTTAAAGAACCATCACAGACTATAGAGAATTAATTTGTAAAATGTCTGTTGATCTTTGAAGGAATGAACAAATATGACTACTTAAGTGAAGAACCCCATCCCTATACAGCTGAACCCTGTAAACCCCAGATCTATGATCTCTGTGTACAGCACGTTCAAACCATAGGAGCATCTAAAAAGGAGTTTATACATAAGACTTGAAGGGTCTCTGTTCCAAAAGATCCATGCTTGGCTTTGTTTACAAGCTATAGTCCAGTGGTAAAAGGTATGATGTGAAAAAAAAACAAAATAGAGTGAGCTTTGTGTCCAGACCAAACAATCCGATCAAAGGTCTTAATGTCATGCTAATGAGAGCCCAACCTCCAAAAGGTTATTCTATCACTGAGGGTAAAACAAAATGCATTTATTTTAGAATATTTTAAATAAATTATGATTGATTACCTATAGATTTAATTTTGCTATTGGTAATTTGGTAAAACCTGAATCTCAATTAAGAAGACTTAGACAAACTTGACTGTCATTTCGTATACACAAAGTGTAACGAAATTTCGAAGCATGCAGCTTTTCAGCAATGAATGAGCAGCTTCGACAGTGAAATTAACATTTTCATTTATAAAGTGCAGCAGTGATCAGACAAATATGGTGCAAATGCCACTATATAATTTTGAACCGAGAAAACGGCTGTCCTGATTGGGGTCCACATGTTTTTTTTTCCCTACATTATTCATTTCTTCTCTAGTTTTTTTCTTTCTTTTTTTTTTTTTTTTGTGGGTGTAGACAAAGACAGAGACATCCCTGCAGATAAGGTAATTAAAAGCAGGCAAGAATGACGGTTGTTTGAAATGCAACCAACAAGCAGGTAAACATTTTAAACTGATTTAAGTGAAGCAAACATATTTATTCCCTACAAACTGAAGATGCAATGATGGCATTGATTAAAAGAAATAAACTAATGACGATCAGAACAGAACAGGTGGGCACAAGAAGGCCAGATGGTTTATTTATTTATTTTTTGCAGTGACGTGGTTCAGACTAAACAACACATCTCACTGGCTCCACGCTGAGCTCAACCTTTTGACAGCAAATAAGTGTGAGCAGCTGCAGTGAGTGCTGTCTGACATTTATTTGGAACTAAATGGAGCTTTCCTTTCTTATCCTTTCATTGCAGGTTCATTTTTTTAACAAGGTGATGTATCTGTAGGGTTCAAAATAACTATTGGCTTAAGGCTTCAACTGCATCATCAGTGACCAGGGATTTAGGGATCAGATTATCAGTCTAAATAAAGAAATTAAAATATTGGGAGTAGTTTTCAAACTTCATTTAAAAGATAAAACAAATCCCCTATTTCCAGATATATTTTGATAGATATTGTTCTGTTTAGTTGTTGCTCTCTATGCAGTTCCTAATTCGTAAATCCAAATAATTAATAAAAGATCTTCAAAGTTTATCTGTTTTAGTATTTACAATGTGAGAAAAAGCTCTGAAATCTAAAGATTTTCCTATTTTTATGTATACTAAATAATAAGTCATATTTTTTTTAGATCACTCTCACTGAATAAAAACATTTATCTAAAAAGAACGATATACAAAATATACTATATTTTGTTAAAAGCTTAAATAGGCTAATCAGGATTTCATGTGATAGAGCTACACATAATACTGCATAATTTTGAACCAAATGAGAAGTACCTTTATGTTTTTGGTTTTTTTTAGGCGAATCTAAAATTGTGCCATACACATTTTATCTAAATACTTTTGGGGAACAATATTTTAACACTCACAAAGATCAAAGCACCAATTGAGTTTTATCTACCCGCCATGATTCTGCCCTTTCTGGACTTTTTGATTTGTTTGTTTTTTTCGTTTTGAGTTTTCAGTTACTTTGATTTCTAGGTCATTTTTTTATTTTCCATTTAATGTCATTCAAGTTATTTTCTATTTGTATTGAAGCACTTTTGTATTTCTTGTTTTCTCTCTGTTGCCCCCTTGTGTCACTCTCCTTTCCCCTAGGTCCCTTCTAGATCATTCTGTCCACACCTGCTCCCAATCACTTGATTACTCCATTCATTGTTCTCTTTGGCATATATATACTCCTCCCTTACAGTTGCTGGTTGCTGGATTCTCTTCATTCTGTAGGTTAATTCCTCCCAAGCAGAGGTGTCAAGTAACAAAGTACAAATACTTTGTTACTGTACTTAAGTACACTTTTTAGATATCTATACTTTACTCCATTACTTATTTTTCTTCCAACTTCTTACATCTACTCATTACATTTTCAGCATCTATATTACATTTAAGTATCTGTACTTTCTATTCCTTACATAAAAAAAAAAAACATTACTCATGACTCTTGGCTTCGGTTTAATGTTTATAAATATTTATCTCCCGTCATGCGTAGGGGTGTGCAAAATAATCGTCATGATGATGCATCGTGATTCTAATTTTCGTGATCTACTGCATCGATTCTTGATGCCATGTATCGATTATTAATTTTAAAAAATGAATAAATAAAATTGCATGAATGGTTGGCGAACATCAGCCAAAAACAAGTGTAATACAACTTCCAGTCCAGTAAATGTCGCTGCAAATGTGTTGACGCACGCTGCCTTGTGTCACAAGCATTTCCGGCCGCGGGATACTGCGCCGAGTCATTCAAAAACAAACATGGAGGAGAAAATATTGCAATGCATCGCAATAATTCAAGTATCGTGATGCATCGTGATAGAATCGCATCGTGGCCTGTGAATCGTGATTCGAATCGAATCGTGACTTCTTTGGCAATACCCACCCCTAGTCATGCACTCTATCCAATGCAGATCATTGGCTCCATCCACATCTAGTGAAAACTAGTTTGATTGGATGAGTCATATAACGCAAACACTCATTGGTTAGCTAAAGGAAATCATGAGAAGCAAGCAGGTGTTCTTCAAACTGAAAATGTGAATTGTCTATGCCATGCTACAATGTCGGATTCAGAAAAAGATGCTGAAATGTCTGAAAGGTCGGACACAGGCAAGAGTGTATCAGGAGATGGAGACTGAGACCAACAAGACCTCCCTCATCCTTGGCCCTATCTCAAAGAATTTTTAGAAATAGTCGAAAAATAGAACTTTCAATTCATATAGTGGCATCTGGCTGTTTTTTTAAAGGTTACTTTATACTTTTATACTTTAACTAGTTTTTGCAGCACATACTTTTTCACTTTTACTTGAGTAAAGAGGTCAAGTTGATACTTCAGCTTTTACCAAGTGTTTTTAAACTGCAGTATCTATACTTCTACTTAAGTAACAAAAGTGTGTACTTTTGACCTCACTGCTCCCAAGCGTCTCCTAGTTTTTGCTTCCTGAGTTTCTTGTCGATCAGTTCTAGATTATGGCTTCTGTATTTTCATTTAATCAAACTTAGCAAAAAAAGCATCTCTGCCTTTTCATCTCGACCTTTAGGTCCTCAACAAGTATCCACTAATCCTGACACTACCAGCTGAAATTTTCCATATTTTCCTTATAAGCAATAAATCTAAGGCTCAGCCCCACAGTGGATCAAGTCTCACTACTGATTTCTACATAAATGTGGTGTTAGAGTTTGACTGAGCCGTTCTAACATGAATATATCATCACACAATTTGTTTGTTCTCTTGCAGGAAGGTTTACAAAAGAGCAGTTTACTTTACGGTCAGCTGTTACATAGAAAAAAGCGTTCTCACATGAAAAAAACAGTCTTGATATGCTAGATATGCTATCTATCTAACCATCAACTATGCACAAACTCACTTCCCCTGCAGAGAAAAAAAAAAAAAGTGTTCCCACAGCATGATGCTGCAACTGCTATGTTTCACTGTGGGGGCATGGCCATTGGCATTTTCAGATTTTTTAAGTCTTTCCAAAAGTTATATATTTTTATCTCGCCTCACAGAGGACTTTTTTTTTTTTATTATCACTAGATTTTTTGTAGGGGTTAGATTCCAAATGTATCCCACATTTTTTAAATATTTCTTTTTGCAATGCACTTTAAAAAAAAAACATACATCATTCTTAAGCATCACAATTATCTAGCATTCTCTGATGGTCAATCACATGAAAACCAAATAGTTGAGTTCTGGTTTTATCAATACAAATGTCAAAAATGTCAGCTCTCTAATTGGAATTGAATTCAATTCCAATTTTCTCCATAAAATAAGGATATGAACTTGTTTTAGATAAGCTGCCTACTCCTACTATTAAGTTTTAAATCAAATGATGAGAGATAAGCTGTTTTTAGAAACATCAGACATGAGTTTTTTTTCTCAGATGGTGAAGTGTTCAGGAACAGGCTGCTTTTTGTCATTGCACTTGTATTTAAAGCAGCAGAGGCCCCTTCTGCTGTATGTTGAACTATTCTGACAAGTACAACCACCAAACCTGCACCCGCACCTAGTGGCTCGCACATCCTCAAATGTTCATGTTCACAATGCCGACAGCACTTAGCCACAAGGGTTCACACAGGCGGAATCACACCATGCCTGAGGAGACGCAGTGGGAGGTTGGCTCTTTGTATGACCTGTAATGAATAGTGCTGAGAAACACTCACACACTGAAATTATGACAACTTACCAACATGCCAGCAGAGATGGGAATCAGTGTCTATGGTGACCTGGCTTCTTTTTCTGCTTTATTGCACTGCTGTTGGATCCTGATTGATGGAGTAAATGGCTAGAAAAGGACATTTTAAAACAATGAAAATTGTTTCTTTTTTCTCCCTCCCAGTGCTCCATGCCCTCCTGCATTGTGGCCTTCCATGTGACGTGCGCCTTTGACCACGGCCTGGAGATGAAGACCATCCTGGCTGAAAACGATGAGGTGCGCTTCAAGTCCTTCTGCCTGGAGCACAGCTCCACCGCCACCAACACGACCAGTGTAACCAATGGAAACCACGCCGTCCCTTCAACCACCGACTTAGCTGCCAGATCCGACTGGGCTCCTGGCTCTGAACTGCAGCCAGAGCAGCACCAGGGGTTTAACAGCTGCGGTGACACGGATCAGAGCAGAGTATCACACCTGGTCTCGGTGTCTGCATCAGAGCGAGCCGAGCGAGACCAGCTGGAGAGAGAGAAGGTTAGCCAGAGGAAGCAGAAGCTCCAGGAGCTGGAGGATGAGTTTTACAGACTGGTGGATCCAAGCGACGTAGCCGAAAACCTTGAGCTGCCGCTCATTCAGGTAAACTCAATTGCATGCAAGAAATGATTCATAAGCAGCAACTGATGTCATCCACCATCATTAGTATGAAACACACTATGCTCCCGCAGCTGGTGACTTAGAATAAATTACAATCACAGGAATGAGAAAGACAACATGGCAGCACTTGTTCCTTTAAAGGACCAGAAAGGTGCAAACACTCCAGGCTCATTTAGAGTTATGCTTTTGCTTTGGAGTCTCAAAAAGAAACCAATAAGCTCGACCTGCTGTGATGATTTACACTAACATGACCTCAGCTACACTCTGGTTTCACCAAAGCATTAAATTAAGAAGAGCTAGACTTCAGATTCACTAATGCTACAAATGTAAAATCATTACGAAAGGACTAAAATAGTGGATTTTTGACAGAGAAATGCTTTTTCCTTCATAATCACTGAATCACAGAATCCGAAAAGTGTTTCTGTGCCGTAGTTCCTCCTCATTTATGTCATTAGACCATTTCAATTTACTAGTCAGCTGCCGTGAGCGGGATATCCCTTTCCTCAGTGACCATTAGCTTGCCTGGCGTTGTCGTGACAACATAACTCTCGCGAACCTATGTTGATTACACTTCAAAATAATAAAATAAAAATACAAATACAAATAATAGTGAAATAAAATAAGCCAAAATCATTTCCCAAAATATTCAAAAGAAATTCATATATTTTCAATACATTTTCTTTAAATCTCTCTCTCGCCACTAAGGGAAGCTGCAGCACCAGCATCAATGATGGAGAGAGTTGATTTTGTTGTTTTGTACTTGTAACAGTGTAATGACAATAAAGTTTAATTCTATTAAACTTTATTTCTATTAGTCTTGACTAATTTCTATTAGTCGAGAAAATGTGAATAAACTCTAATAAAAATTGACATTACAACATTCAACAAAAGTATCACAGTTCCATGACTTCTTAAATGCATTATTTTCTTTCTTCTAGGTGGATTTCTTATATCAGTTCTGGAAGTTAAAGAGGAAGGCCAACTTCAATCAGCCCCTAGTCACTTTAAAAAGGGACGAGGTGGACAACCTGGCCCAGCAGGAGCAGGACGTCCTCTACAGACGACTCAAACTCTTTACGCACCTTCGTCAGGATCTGGAGAGGGTGAGTAAGACGCGGAAAAGTTGACATGTGGTGTGCTAGCATGAAGGCAATGAAGCTTACCTGGGATTGCATTGTCACAGTATGATGTCATGCATGGGAAAACTACATTATTACCTGCTGAAAGAGAGGATTGTGTTCGAACTGTTGCCACTAAAGGAAATGCTGTAGTAGGTGTCTGTGCAGAGGTCCATGAAAAGGACAGTTATCCTGGCGAATGCCGGGAGTTTGTTCCTAAAGAATAACCTCAGTGATTCAAAGCCTGTTTGGTTCTATCATGTTAAGATGTGCTCGGTTTTTGGTGAGAATAAAGGTTTCCTGTTAAAATGGCAGTTGAAGTGAGGTTTGCTTGTGCGTGAATGAAGGTTGGTAGAGGTAAATTATATTCTAGTTTGAAAGACTTTCTACATCTGATTAAAACGTTTGTAGATCATTAAGCTGAGTCTAATTAAATTATAGGGCACAAATGATTGATTGAGATTTGTTGTCTTTTATCAATCAGGTTCTGGAAGAACTTCTAGTTCTATCAAACTCTGCAAAACTATGTAGAGCATGAAATTTTATTTCACATTTCTCGTCTAGTTCTTTGTGGAATATGAAATAGAGTTACCATTTCTGAAATTTTCTGCCATCAACTGCTTTTTGTCAATCCATCTGTTTGTCCTTTCCTTAACCCATCAATGCTTTCATCCATCAGTCAATTATCCATCTGTCATCCATCTTTTTTTAACTCTACCAATGCTTCTACCTCATTTACCCTTCTTTTTAGAATGAACTTTTATCAAATTTGTTCATAAAAGCCCTGACCACTATTAAAACATCTGTTCTTTAAAATCTGCAAAGCTAATTTAAAGAATCTGAAGGAAATGTTTAAAACTTAGAACCATCCAAGTGCTTCTGCTGATGCTGCATAAACTATGTTACAAACATTGCTTACTCTGGCGGACGTAAATCTTAACCAGCCTGTCATTACCCAGTTTCTAGGACCGATTATTCATGCATGTAATGTTGCTCCTGGCTCATGTTCACAGCATGGTACTGTGGTAGTTCACTGGCATTTTCTGCTCTAAAAACCTTATTCTGACCCTGCAATCGTATGATATACCAACAGATTTTCACTCAACAGCTCATAGCTAAGTGTCTTCTGCAGTCTGAGTTGATTGGAATGGAGATAAATGATGTTTGGTAAAGGAGGGCCTGGTTTGATGTGCGGCTTTTTGCTGTAAATCTATTTTTGTGATCTAAAAGGCATTTTATCTTATTTTAACAGGTTCTGATATATCCCATTCTTAGTTACATCCAAGAAAACCTGCATAACCTCTTGTCTTGCCAATCAATTTTCTCTCAGACCGTAAACTAAACATTCTGGTTTCTGTTTAATATTTCCTCCTCGTTTCTCCGGCATGTGTTTTCATATAGTCCATTTGGCCGAAACTCTAAACTGGTTTGGTTTAATTTGGATGACTTAATTTGAATGACAATGGTGCAACCATCTGGCAAATTTCAACCAGTTGACTTACAATTCTGAACCAAACTAACAAGTGGAATGCAACCACTACACTTAAATATAAAGTTCTCTGTTTCTTAATCATCTCTGCTATGAAGAGTAGTTTTTATTTAGTTCCTAAACAACAATTTCTTGCATCTTTCCCTAAAATATTTATGTTAATAAATCTGCAACCTTCTCCTTAACAGTAGAAACCAGTAGAAAAAAACAAGTCTTACCAGGTTAGATAGCAACATTATTAGAGTACTTTTTTAGTTATTTTATATCTAAAATTCATTAAATGATAGATAGAAGTCTAAAGAGATATTAACTGTACGTAGGCTTGTGTAACTGTAGCTACACCACTCTGGCCTCCAGCGGTTAGGCTTTATTGATCGCAGCAGACCTTGCTAACCTCCTGACCAGGCAGCGTGTCCATTGACTCCATAACTGTTTTCCCCCCGGACTGGCTGTTATTGATGTGAGAGTTGCGTGGTGAACCATACCACTTCAAGCCTCTAAAGTCACCTCAGTTTATCCCATCAATAAAAGGTCGAACTGCTGATTTAATGCAGTCTTGACAGCATGTTGAATGCCACAAAAAGAGCTATCTCAAATGACTGCTTACAGTAAAACTAACCTGAATGATCACTTTTTAGGCCTTGAAAACATTTTTGGTCCAAATACTGCATAATTATACCAAGTGTCCAATGCAAACCTTAAGTTGGATGCTGTTCATGAAGTGGTCCATGTCTGGATGGACATGGATCACTGAGATCTGATTTTCTATATTTCTTGAGTAAAAGCTTCTCTTTGCAGTAGCTTTTCACTGAGGAAATACAGAAAAACATACCTCTTACAAGTACAATAAGAGGTATGTATTTCCTATATCACTCTTAGTGTAGTATGCGGAACATAGTACACATAAGTAAGGGGTCTGAAAGAGAAATGTAGCCAAATTCTATGTCCAGTGACACATTCCACCTTATTTTGGGTATACATTAGGAGTTCCTAGACAAGGAAAGATGAGTTGTCCCTCTAGTGAATCCTGGGCCTGCCTCAGGTTCTACCCCCAATAAGATGTTCCTGGTCAACCCCCAAAGCATCAAATCCGCTCTGCTGACTCCTTTCATTGTGGAGTTGAGATGGTTCTGCTTTGCGCCTTTTGACCACCAACAAAACTCTCTCTTTGCAACGACCTAATCTCTCATATTCTATGACTTATTGGAAAGACGAGCCCCAATCCATTCAAGCAACCCCATCCTATTAACTGTAAAAAAAAAAAAAAAACATTATCAATTAAAAAATGGCCTCCAACCTGTTGTCAATCTTTTTTGTATGAGATCCATGGCTTCTTAATAAGAAGTATCCGAGCCATTTATTACTTTTGATCATACAAGTTTATTCTTGCCTCTAGCAGTTTGACAGCCATGTAGTTTAGAGATGCACAATATGTTGGCAGCAACATCATCATCAGTGGATGATGGTCATCTTTAACTGTATCAGTCTGATAAATAAAGCAGGACAGGTGTCACCAAATGATGTTTACTTCCATGTTGTTGTCTTTTGTTTTGGGGGGGCAGGTTAATAGAGAGAATGTGTTTAACTGGAACAGAGAAGGAATGCGGACAAAGAAAAATTGAGATTGTAGTCAATTTTTTATAGTATCTGAAAGGTATGGATGTTAGGGCTGGGCAATTAATTGCATTTGCAATTTAATTGCAATTTAACAAGATGTATTTTTCAAATCACAGAGGCACTTATTTTTAATCACATTATATTTAACAAGAGTAAGACACAGAATTTCTCACTCCAGTCCTTTAGGTGGCAGTAAAATGCTTGAAGTGGGTTTGTTGCCACACAGACAGGTAGACAGTTTTGCAGCTAGCATGCAAGTCCGTACATGCAAGTAGAAGTAGGCACTTTTTCGCACAAAGAATACTGTATAGTCCTACAACAATGGACTTTTGGGCAAGCAAGGTTTTTAAAAACTGAAAAATAATTAGACATTTGGGGTTAGGGTCAAGGAATATTGAAATAAAATTGCAATTTTGCTTAAAAGTATTTGCAATTTTAAATTTGGGGGGTGCTTTGGTGGCACAGCGGTTACCGCACATGATCCATGTATGGTGGCCTTACTCCACGACGTGGCCTTTTCTGCATGTCTCTCCCCCTCTCTCATACTCCCTTTCCTGTCAGCCTGCTGTCCAAAAAAAAAAAACAGCCAGTAGTGCCGTAAAAAAAAATCATACTAACTTAGTCCTAATGGAAATTTATTTAAAATCTGTTTATTCATATAATATTAATGCACAACACACCCTCTCACAGCACCTTACGGAGACAATTCATTCAGATCATGCAGTTAGATTCATTCAAAGCATTTAACATTTAGAACCAAGAAGTATCACTCATTGGCCAAAAAAGGCAGTATTGCTTTCAGATATATTTATTAGCCCAGATATTAAAATCATTGCATCCTTACTCCAGTTATCTGCCCTTTAATTTCTCAATAGGGATGAAAACATTTTCTATACACTTTAATCATGGTAGGCATAATAAAACGGATCCTGATCCTTTAAGTTCCAAAAAAATGTAGTTATATTAAAATCTGAGATCTTCTGCTAATATAAAAATAATAACTTGCTGACAGTTTAGATGGTTTTGCTAATTCCCAATCAAATTTAAATATTGTATTCATGAGTCTTCAGGGGGTGAAACAGTTCAGTTTCTTGCTCTTTCAAATTGAGTCACATCCTTCTTTCAGTCTGAGAGAAAGCCGCATCGATTCTTTGTGATGCTGCCAGGATTGATCTCCACTTGGTCACATATTGTCCGAACGAGAGTCGACAGCTCACCGCTACTGATCCTACTGGTCGTCGATAAGCTCTACAAGCTCCATCTCACTTCATCTGTCTTCTTTACTTTCACACCCCCTGCACTTCCTATCCTTTAACCCACATCTTTCTTCTTTTAAACTTTGCCTGTTTTCTGTCTTACAGTATATGTAGTTATGACACATGGGTGTTAATTCAGACCTTTATTCTTGTAAGAAGAGCTTCACTGATGTATAAATGCACAAGATTTCTTATAAAGATGAATCATTGTGCTATTGTTATGTTTATACGTGCAAGAGTGCATAATCATCTCAGGATTTTCTGTCAAATTGAAAAATTGCCATAATGGCACCATGTGGCATCCCCAGACCCGACCCAGTGAGGACCTGACGGCCGAACCCTCCAGCCTGCTGCTTTTGTAAATAAATATGTGTATGTGCCGGCATATTTGTGCTGGTGCTGGAACATCCAGGGGGCTAATGTGGGGGTGGATTATGCCCCCTCCTCTTCCTCTTTGAAGTGCTGCCAATGGAACGAATTGCACCGTGCTGTCCCTAATGCACTAGTGAGCTTTCTCTATTTCTGCACTCCCCTCCTGAGTGCTACCCAAAAAAAAAAAGAAGTGAAATCTTGCTTCTTGTTGATATCGCTACGTTGCTCATCCAATCAGTATGCAACAAGTC